ACTACGTTCAAAGCGTTTGTTCCAACAGTTCTTGGTAGATGGATACACAACACTGGAATCCAACAGGCTGTCCTATATTAAGTTTAACCAGTCTAATCTGAGATGTGAGAATTATTCTACTCTTAAGGCTGCCTCAGAAGCTGGAAACACCAACATGGGTGAACAAGGTAAATCAATACGTATTCCATCTTCTTTTACTGGTGGACCTCGCTATATGTTGAACAGTTATTATGATGCTATGGCTACGTGTAAAATGTATGGTTTCCCAGACCTGTTTATAACATTTACATGTAACCCCAAGTGGCCAGAAATAACTAGATATTGTAAAGAGCGTAAACTTAATGCGGATGATAGACCAGATGTTGTGTGTCGGATATTCAAGATGAAGCTTGACTCTCTTATGAAAGATTTAACAGAAGACCATCTTCTAGGAAAAACTGTCTCTGGTAATGAATTGTTTTGTCTTCTTTATATGTTTTATGTTTGTTTATTTTATTGCCTGTTACTGTACGAATATGAGTTTAAAATGGTTATTGCTATTTGCAGCTATGTACACAGTGGAGTTTCAGAAAAGAGGACTACCACATGCTCATATACTCTTATTCATGGATAAAAGTTGCAAATTTCCAACATCTGATGACATTGACAATATTATCTCTGCTGAGATTCCAGATAAAGCTAAGGATCCTAAGTTATATGAGGTTGTAAAGGAGTGTATGATACATGGTCCATGTGGTGCGGCCAACAAAGATTCACCATGCATGGTTGATGGCAAGTGTTCTAAGTTTTTTCCTAAGAAATTGGTTGAGCAAACAACAGTTGGTAAAGACGGATACCCAATATATAGAAGGCGGGAATCTCAGCACTTTGTTGAAAAAGGTGGTATTAAGTGTGACAACAGCTATGTTGTTCCGTATAATCGCCTTTTATCATTGCGTTATAGAGCTCACATCAACGTTGAGTGGTGTAACCAATCCGGTTCTATCAAATACTTATTTAAGTATATTAACAAAGGACAAGATCGTGTAGCTATCGTTGTTGAACCTAAGGACAAGAATACTGATACGGAGACTGGATCAGCAACTGGCAGTAAAGAAAAAAGTAAAGATGAAATCAAAGATTACTTCGATTGCAGGTATGATATAATATTCCTTAGTGAATATATCTACTATATCAGTCTTATATTTTCAGTTTGCAATAATTTACATTTTTTCCCTTAATAAATAGGTATGTCTCAGCTTCTGAAGCTGTTTGGAGGATATTCAAATTTCCCATCCAGTTTAGGACTACACCTGTGATGAAGCTTTCTTACCATCTTCCTGGAAAGCAACCATTATTTTTCGATGGCACCCAGAATATTGATGAACTATTGGATAGAAAAGCAAATGAAGATTCTATGTTTATGGCTTATCTTAATCTGAATAAGGAGAATGAGTTTGCTAGACAGTTCACTTACGCAGAGATTCCTCAATATTTCACTTGGGATGGACAGAATAATCAGTGGAAGCTTAGGGAAAGAGGTTTCTGTATAGGGAGAATAAACTATGCCTCCATTAAAATGAAACCAGAATATTACATGAGGATCCTTCTTGGGATAGTAACTGGTCCAAAGAGTGATGAAGATATCAGAACATACAAAGATGTTGTGTATGAGACATACAAGGAGGCATGTTTGGCACGTGGTATTCTAACAGACGATCAAGCTTATATTGATAGTATATTGGAAGCAAGCTTATTTTTCTTTGGAGATCATCTTCGTAATTTCTTTTCTATGATGCTTCTGGATAAATGTCTTGCAAGACCGGAGTATGTGTGGGAAATGTGTTGTGGAATTTTAACGGAAGACATCGAAACAAAGAAAAGAAATCAGTACAACAATCCAGGTTTGTTGAGATACAATTTTTTTTCCGTTGGTTTGCTTGCTTTCCGTTTCTGTTATAATGAAATAGTGTTTTTCTTTTTTACTCCAGATTTAGTATTAACTGATGCTGAGAAAAGAAATTATGCTCTTCAAGAGATAGAAGATTTGCTGTTGTGTAATGGGAGTACTCTGACAGACTTCAAAGACATGCCTAAACCTACTCAAGAAGGTATAGATCATTCAAACCGTTTCATTACAGAAGAGAAAAACTATAACCGTGATAAGTTGCGAGAAGACCATGATGAGTGGGTTAATAAGATGACTTCTGAGCAAAAAGGCATTTATGATGAGATCATTGGTGCTGTTTTAGAAAACAGTGGAGGTGTCTTCTTTGTTTATGGATTTGGGGGAACCGGTAAAACTTTTATGTGGAAAACTCTATCTGCCGCAGTTCGAATGAGGGGTTTGATTTCTGTCAATGTTGCGTCTAGCGGGATTGCTTCTTTGTTGTTAGAAGGTGGTAGAACTGCACATTCTAGGTTTGGTATCCCTATTCATCCTGATGATTTCACAACATGTCATATCGTGCCTAACTCAGACCTTGCTAATATGCTTAAGGAAGCATCTCTTATCATATGGGATGAAGCTCCTATGATGAGTCGTTATTGTTTTGAGTCATTGGATAGAAGTCTAAATGATGTTATTGGAAATGTCGATGGAAAGCCATTTGGTGGTAAAGTTGTTGTTTTCGGAGGTGATTTCAGACAAGTTCTCCCTGTAATACATGGTGCTGGTAGGGCAGAGATTGTTTTAGCTGCATTAAATTCATCTTATCTCTGGGAACACTGCAAGGTCCTCATTTTGACAAAGAACATGCGTCTTATGGCTAATGATTTGGATAAAGATGAGGCAGAGAAAATTAAAGAGTTTTCTGATTGGCTCTTGGCCGTTGGTGATGGTAGAGTTTCAGAGCCTAATGATGGTGAAGTTCTCATAGATATTCCAGAAGATTTACTGATTAAAGATGTAAATGATCCTATTGAAGCTATTATCAAAGCAGTTTACGGAGAATTGGATTTGTTGCAGCCTAATAATGATCCTAAATTCTTTCAAGAGAGAGCTATATTGTGTCCAAGAAATAGTGATGTCAACACCATCAACGACATCATGCTTGAGAAACTTAATGGTAAGAATTACGTTTTAATACTATAATCTTTAACTGTATATGTATAAGAAACTTATCTAACAAATTTTCCCTAAACAGGTGAAGCAATGACTTATTTAAGTGCAGACGATATTGATCCTCAGGATGGTGCTTCATTGAACAATCCTGTCTTCACACCTGATTTCCTCAATAGTATCAAGCTTTCTGGTTTGCCAAATCACAGTCTCAGTCTCAAGATTGGTGCACCGGTTATGTTACTGAGGAATATTGATCCAAAAAATGGTCTATGTAATGGTACTAGATTGCAGATAACGCAGATGTGTAATCATATACTTGAAGCCAAAGTGATTACTGGAGATAGAATCGGAGACAAAGTGATAATCCCTAAATCTCAGATATCACCTTCAGATACCAAATTGCCTTTTCGTATGAGGAGAAGACAGTTTCCAATATATGTGGCTTTTGCAATGACAATAAACAAAAGCCAGGGACAATCACTTAAAGAGGTAGGGATTTATCTTCCTAGACCAGTATTTTCTCATGGCCAGCTGTATGTTGCCTTATCAAGAGTCACTTCCAAAAAAGGTTTGAAAGTTCTTATTGTGGATAAAGAAGGAAAAACTCAGAGTCAAACAATGAATGTCGTCTTCAAAGAGATCTTTCAGAACCTAAGGAATTAGAATAGTTTTAGTTTTTTTGCTTCTGTTATTTAACTTTGTAGATGTTTTGTATTGTTTTTTAGAACAGCAAGTTCCTTTCCATGGTCATTTTAATCCAAACATAATCAGACTCTCTGCAACTACAGTAGTGTAAGTTTAAGAGTTCATTTCTAGACAACAAAATCAAGAAACCTTAGTTCAATTATAACTCCGATTGAGACAAACAACAATAAGAACTTATGTCTACAACTGAAAAAGTTTTAGAAAACTAACCTTATAGAAACGATTATTGCTTTAAGTGTTGTCGATTTGCAAAATTTGATCTGCAAGTGGTTTCATTCAGGTTCTGTTCTTCACTGATCCCCTATCCCAGATTTCTAACAGAAACCAATTCATCATCTCAAGTGCTTTATCCGAATCCTATATGAAATCTGAAAAAGGTAATTGATCACAGAATCTAAATTATCTTGAAACAATTCAATTGAATTAGAATGAAGCTTACAAATTAAGAAGAATTGGCGCAGAGAACATGTCTATTGATGTGAGCTTATGATCTGATTATCAGCTTCTTCGATATCATCGGTAAAGCTTAAGCATGTCAATGGATGTTAACTTTCGGTGGAGAACGAGAATCATCGTTCTCATATGTTTTTTTTTTTTTTTTTTTTTTTTTTTTTTTTTTTTTTTTAATACACACCTTATGTGTCTTTAATTTTTTAAAAACATAATTTAATTTTATTTGTTTACTTTATCTTCAATTTTTTAAAATTTGTTTATAAATGTTAGAATCTTTGTTATGCTAAAAACAAATTCTCTTCAAAACTATATAGTAAAAGAACACTTATAATCACAAAAACAATTACACCACTTTTACTATTTCACATTTTAATATCTACTTTTACTTATATTAACATTCCAAACCCATTTTTTAATTAATACACCTATTTAAATATATTAAATCACATTATTCTAAGTATTAAATAACAACCAACCAATTAAAATACCAATTATTAGTTATAAAGGATTTAATTTAAAAACCAATTTTATAAATTATGTATATAAAACATAATCAACTACTTAATAAGAAAACCGCACAAAATCTACGCCCGCGGGATACCGCGGGTTAAATCCTAGTTTTAGGTGCATTAAAGCAAGCATTTCTCGAAACATATATATCAAGTTTGAGATTACAATTTTGTGTTCCTGGGTTACATAAAAGAAACGAGTTTGTGAATAAATGGGCTTATCATAGGCTTTAAACGGCCCAGATTTGGTCACATTCGAAACAGTGGTACCTTGAAACCCTAATCATCGAACATTAAAACCTGATTTTACTGAAACTGTGCTGCGAAGGAGAAGCCGCAAACCATTTTTTGTCAATCTAGGGTTCTTCTTCGTTCTTGCAGATTTCGCTTCCGTTTTCACTAATCGGTTAGTCGCAAAGAGTTTATCTTTCGCTTACTCTCTGGTCCGTCTTTTTAGTTTGTTCTGTTTTTCGTGAGGGGAAATGCTGATGTTTTGTCTAAAATCTTGTAGCTCACTTTAGTGTGGAATGGTGTAAGATTTTAGCTCTTGTAATTGGTCTAATTCTGGGTTTTTGCTCTTTAAGAGAAAGATACTGTAGTTTAGTTTAAGCCTCTGTAGACTATGTGACAATGTCGATTTAAAAATTTATATCTTGCTACTGAATAGAACTAGAAAGCTGAGAGAGAGGCTCTCTGTGTTTTTTTTTTCCCTTTTGATCCATAAAGCCTTCAACTTTGAACATACTGGAAAGTGGAAACATTTACTCGTCTGTTTTTGTTAATGGATTTTATGAATGTGTATCCTGAAATTTAATGGTAGCAAGTTCCTATGCCTAAAGTCATCACTTTTCCTTGTTTCGTTTTTCTTACAATTCAAGATCTGTGAAGATGTTCTCCGCTCAGAACAAGATCAAGAAGGACAAGAATGCTGAGCCAACAGAATGCGAGGAGCAAGTTGCTCAGGTACTAACAACTCCTCCTCTTATGTCTTTGACTCTTTGTCTTTAAATTAGTCTTCTGTGAATTGTTCATCGTGAATAGCTGGAATTTTCTTTCTCAGGCTTTGTTTGATTTGGAGAACACTAACCAGGAGTTGAAAAGCGAGTTGAAAGATCTCTACATCAACCAAGCTGTGTATGTTTCTTCGTTTTGTTTCTACTCCTTTTCAGTCCATTGTTGCATTAGCCTTTTTCGAAGGGAAACTTATTTTATATTTTATTCTTTCTCTACAGTCAAATGGATATCTCCGGAAACCGCAAAGCTGTTGTGATTTACGTCCCATTCAGATTGAGGAAAGCTTTCCGCAAGATTCATCCCCGCCTCGTCAGAGAGCTTGAGAAGAAGTTTAGTGGAAAGGTAATTTTATAAATTTATTTCTCTTTAGTAAATGCCTAAGTAAATAGTAGTACAATCTGTCTAAAACATTCTGCCTTTTGTCTCATTGTTTTCACAGGATGTCATCTTTGTTACCACAAGAAGGATCATGCGTCCTCCTAAGAAGGGTGCTGCTGTTCAGAGGCCACGTAACAGAACTCTTACCTCTGTTCATGAAGCTATGCTTGAAGATGTTGCTTTCCCCGCTGAGATTGTTGGAAAGCGTACTCGGTACCGTCTTGATGGTTCCAAGATCATGAAGGTATCATATCATTTACTATGAGATTATACTCAGATCTTTCTCTGAATGATTTTGAGCTCACCTTTACATTCTGTTTTGACTGTTATGTCACAGGTCTATTTGGATGCCAAGGAGAAGAACAACTCTGAATACAAGCTCGAGACTATGGTGGGTGTGTACCGTAAACTTACCGGCAAAGATGTCGTTTTTGAGTACCCAGTCGAAGCTTGAAAGAAGATGATGATGAATCATCAGGATAGAGAAAGAGAGCTTTTTATTCTGTTTTGTGGTATTTAGGATGAAGGAAACTCTCTTGATTCAGTTCCTTATTCACAATCTTTAATGTTTTATTTACAATGACTACTTTTTGTGCTTTTCAATTTTGAAACCTTCTTTATAATTTCAGATTCATTCCAAATTTCAAAAGCAACACATTGAGAAGAGATAGGTGTCTTCAATACGTGTAATTATATTCAACTGCAACTATTGGTTAGTGTCAGTATCTATGAACATAATCTTGCTCTGCAACGAGTCTATGAACATAATCTTGCTCTGCAACGAGTCTATGAAGTCTCTTCATAGTGTAATCAGAGTATGTGCGGTCGCAACCATATGCAATAACTCGAGACTGAATTATATTAAATTTAAAAAGTGCATAGACCTAGTATATAGTGATTGTCTCACAATAAAATGAATATGCTACACCAATCTGAATCTCTACATGGTTGCTTATTGCAAATCAAAGCAAAAGGCTTGCATCTGTTTACTTATCATTCTAATCACATTCTATACATTGTGGAATTTATACTTCTGCACAAGATTAAATCTCGAAATTCCTTGATTGAAGCCATTAAGCACAAGAGTCTTCACAGCTTCACTTCCTTGCTCGAGTGCTTCGTCGATCTGTTTCCGTTCCAATGGACTAAACTTCTGAAGAAGAAAAGCTTTCATATCCATGTTTCCAGGTGGTTTACCAATGCCTGACAAAAGTCAACAAAACATAAAAGTTGAAAGAGAAACAGAGGATAGTCTCGCTTTTAAACCCGAACCAGACCGAAACCATACCTATGCTTAAACGAGGAAAGTTTCGACGACCATCCAAATGCCCCATTACACTCTTCACTCTGTAACAAATATAAAAGGTGACATCAGTTAATAGATCAGAGAACACACTTATATGTTCAAGAGGTACATTCATACCCGTTATGATAGCCTTGACCTCCTTTTGGTTGAAGTCTCAAAACCCCATTTGGTAAAGCCATCTCATCGTAAAGCTAGGAGGGAGAAACAAAAGTGTTTACTCGGAACATTGTTCTGGTTTATAGGGATACTTAAGTCAGTAATCTTACCATTAAAATGTGGCGCAATGGTACTCGATAGTGTGAAGCTAAAGATCCAACCTTTAAACGACAACAGAACAGTTTAAGTATGAGGATTATTTGATCATGCAGCTGATCTTTGCAAAGTTATGATAAGAAAAGTTTGGTGGACAGAAAATACAAACCGATTCGCCGCTGAAGTTCATATAAGTCTGAGGTTTAACCAGCAAGATAGGTACATCTTCAATAGCACCTGTACTGATCATACATAGAACCAAAAAGTCATCAGTTTTACTATGCTTCAAACCGAAGAACCGAGAGCGAGAGAAGTAAAACCTATTCCGATTAGTGCTTTCGACTGTATCGTGTTCATCAAAACCCCTTCTTTTCTAGCCAACACATCGATCATCTCGAAACCAACCTGAAAACAACACAAAGTTGTAGCATTGCCGAGATAGAAACCAAACTTTTAAAAGCAAATAATTACAAAAATGATTGTTTTTTATTACATTGTGTCTTGTTCCATGATACTTGTTTCCTGGATTGCCCAACCCAACGATAAGCCAAGGAGTGTACTCTACTTTGAATCTGTCATTCTCAGTAGAAGTAGATGAACAAACCCGAAACCTCGGTTTCCGAAAAACCGGCTTTTGCGTATGAAAGTGGTAAATAGTTGGTGTATACGTTGGGCAGAGCATTGAACTGTTGATTCAAAGAAGTGGAATCAATCATCTATCATTATTAGTCATTTATGATTTATGCTACCAAAATTATCAACATATATCTAAAATTAACCATTTTTCAAGGAACTATTGAAAGTGAAATGAATAGAAAATTTAAGATTGAATACATTTTTCTTCATATACCATCGAACACATTACGATAACAAGCTTTCCACGAGATAATGAAATTCGAAATCATATAATCACTGAGAATCAAAACTTAATGAAACCCATTAAGAGAGATACAACGCAGATCAAAAAAAGAAGCTTAAGTGTAATCGAACAGAGGACTCAGCAAATTTTATGGAGAATCAGAGATTAGTAATGAGCTACAAGGATTACAAGATTTTGTCTTTGTGGTTTAGATTATGGTATAACTTCTCAGTAGAAGAAGGATAAGTGAGAAAGAAAATAGCTTACCTCTTCTTCTAGAGAGATTCGAAAATTTCTAGCTGACCTTTGCGAAGACGTTGGAACGAGATAGAACGATGAACTACTGAGTGAGGTTTTGAGAGAGAGAGAGAGAGACAGACAGAGACGAAGATCTTCGAAATTGGTCAGATTTTTGGGGTTAATGGGCTTATTACTAATATTAGCCCACAAAAATTGAATGGGCTAAATAATAGTGGCCCAAGTTACTGTGATAAATGTGTTTTATGCGTCATCACATTCTCGATGACGGCACGTGAGTATACCACGTGCGGCTATACGTCATCCAAAATCTAATCCAGAAAATCCAGCGCTGCCAAATCGCCAATCCTGCGGCTCTTACGTACGTACCCCTCTTTTACTTATTTTTTCTTACCCTTTTTCTTTTAGCATTTTACATATTTCGCCAATATTTTCTGTTAATATACATTTTGTGGGGAAAAAATTCTGACTATTGATTTACATTTCCTAATAATTACGCCATTTAATTTGATTTAGATATTGATTTATTTATTTAAAACTTTCGTAGTACTACATATTACCAAAATATCAATACAAAATTGAAAGATGCATCACATGAATTAAATTCGTGATATTTGCTACTTGATTTTCCTTATGGTTTTTGGATAAATATGAATTATTTACACAAAAAGGCCAAACAATATAAGGAAACAAAATTGCGTAATTATAATTTTGGGCCTTTTAAATTTTTTTTTTTTTTTTTTTTTTTTTTTTTTTTAACTCAGGGGAATCCCAGCAATCACAATCTCTCTGGTACAAAGCCCACACTACTCTCTCCCTTCTCTAATCGCGGAGTCTCCGAAGTTTCTCTGGTAATTTTCTCACTATCACTCCAAATCGGTTTTGCTCTTTGTTGTTCGTTTTCTTCCCAAATCTTAAGTTTCGCTTTGTATATCACGATTTTTGTTAACCAGTCGCGATCGAGAAGAGCATTTTCTCTCTCGCTCGTTCGCCATCAATGCAATTGATTGATGTTGTGTCCTCATCGTTTCTTACTTCCCTTATTTTGAGTTCTGTTTGTTATAAATGCGATTTTTTTTTTCTTTCTTTGCCTAATTTTTCTCGTTTCTTCGCAATTACGGTTATAAAAGTCAGAAAAAATGCAGTCGTCAACGTATGCGGTTAAAGGAAACGCCGCGTTTGCGTTTCACAGACGGACCTTGTCTTCTAACAGATCGGCGACTTCTACCGGAATTCGCTTCGCTGATAAGAAGAGCATAGCCACAACCGGACCACTCTACTGTTCTGGTTCTAAAGCCATGGGAGCTAAGCTTGCTCGTGCTGAAAACGGGATCCAGAGCGTTATGAGTTTCTCTTCGGTCAAAGCTCGATCGGTCAGAGCTCAAGCCTCCTCTGGAGATGCAGAAGAAGCTATACCTCTGAGATCTGAAGGCAAACGCTCTGGAACTGTTTTACCTTTTGTTGGTGTTGCTTGTCTTGGTGCTATACTCTTTGGTTATCATCTTGGGTATGACTAATACTACACCTTTTTATTCTTGGGGTGTGATCATGGTTTCTTTGATGATGGTGTTTCTTTGGATTGAATCAGGGTAGTCAATGGTGCTCTTGAATACCTTGCTAAGGATCTTGGGATCGCCGAGAATACTGTTTTACAAGGCAAGTATATGATCCCCACTTCTCTTGCTCCCCCTGTTCGTATAACGGTAAAATGATTCGTGTTTTGATGAGTAGCCAAACTCATAACTGGTATTCTCTCTGATTGCTTCGGAGCAGGATGGATTGTTAGTGCTCTGCTTGCTGGTGCAACGGTAGGTTCATTCACTGGAGGTGCATTAGCTGACAAATTTGGACGAACAAGAACTTTTCAATTGGATGCTATCCCGCTTGCCATTGGAGCTTTCTTATGGTATTGTTTTAAGTGCTAATTCATACTTATATTGGTGGGAAGTTGAGTTATCTTTTAACGCATTGGTTCTTTTTTGGTTGTTTAGTGCAACAGCTCAGAGTGTGCAGACTATGATTGTGGGACGTCTGCTCGCAGGAATTGGAATCGGAATCTCATCAGCCATTGTACCACTTTACATATCTGAGGTTGTTTAAATACTGTGCACATTTAGCTTAAGATGTTAGATATTTTATATGTTATGTTTCTGAAGCGTGTGATGATGGGTGTCAGATATCACCAACCGAAATCCGCGGAGCACTCGGATCCGTGAACCAGTTATTCATATGTATAGGAATACTTGCAGCCTTGATAGCTGGATTACCCCTTGCAGCAAACCCTCTATGGTATGTAGGATCCCCTTATATTAATCTGAATACTATTCATATATATATATTTTTTTTGGGTTGCATAATGTGTTCATATAAGTTTTGATCTCATGGTTTCCTAGGTGGAGGACGATGTTTGGTGTTGCAGTTATCCCTTCCGTTCTACTAGCCATAGGAATGGCTTTTTCTCCAGAAAGCCCAAGGTGGCTCGTTCAGGTACTTTCCACCAGGAATAGAACTCATACTTAACTGAGATTAATTTTTGACAATTCAAGGAAATCAATTTTGCAGCAAGGAAAAGTCTCTCAAGCTGAAAAGGCGATCAAAACTCTGTATGGTAAAGAAAGAGTTGTTGAACTAGTGCGTGACTTATCAACCTCTGGCCAAGGTTCTTCAGAGCCAGAAGCAGGATGGTTTGATCTATTCAGCAGCCGCTACTGGAAAGGTATCACACGACTTGCTGGAGATACATTGTTTCGCTTATCATAAAAGCTGACGGATTAAGCCAAGATATTCCTTTCAAACGTCTTATTGTATTGTATTAACATAGTTTCTTGTGTGTTCTTGTTGTAGTTGTAAGCGTAGGTGCTGCTCTGTTTTTGTTTCAACAGTTAGCCGGGATAAACGCAGTTGTGTACTACTCTACATCGGTGTTCCGTAGCGCTGGAATCCAATCTGATGTTGCAGCCAGTGCTCTCGTTGGAGCATCAAATGTCTTTGGTTCGTTTGCTCTTATATGTTCCCCTTTAGTTTTAATATAGCCAAACAAATAACCCGATAAAAATCTGATCGCAGGAACTGCTGTTGCTTCATCCTTGATGGACAAAATGGGAAGGAAAAGTCTTTTACTCACAAGCTTTGGTGGAATGGTACATGTTTCATTATCATTCTAAGCCATATTCGAAAATCTCAACTCGCATTAGTATTACCATAACCGGGCTAACTTAGATTTTGTGATTTTGTATTGAAAAGGCTTTGTCGATGTTGTTGCTCTCCTTGTCCTTCACATGGAAGGCTCTTGCTGCATATTCTGGAACCCTTGCCGTTGTTGGAACAGTCCTGTAAGTCATTCTCCTCTTGAAGACTTTGTTTTAGTTTCTCTGTATTGGCCTTGACCGACTCTTATGCTCGCGTGTACAACCAGATATGTCCTGTCATTCTCACTTGGTGCTGGCCCGGTACCAGCTCTTCTTCTTCCAGAGATATTTGCATCCCGAATCAGAGCTAAGGCAGTCGCCCTTTCTCTTGGCATGCATTGGGTAATATACATATCTCTATAGGTTGTATGGTTAAGAACAGAGTTTATTTCTCTCTGTTTCTAATGTTTTGTCTCTCTTTTGCCCTAACAGATATCAAACTTTGTGATTGGACTATACTTCTTAAGCGTTGTGACTAGATTTGGAATCAGCAGTGTCTACTTGGGTTTTGCCGGAGTCTGCGTCCTTGCGGTCCTATACATTGCAGGAAACGTCGTAGAGACTAAAGGGCGATCACTCGAGGAAATAGAGCTTGCTCTTACAGCTGGAGTTTGAATTTAAACAAAAAAGAAATCAGCAAAATAAAAACAACTTTGTTTCATCATTTAGCTTGTGAGTCGTTTTCTAATCTACTACTCTTGGGTAAATTGTACAATGGACGAAGTTATCAATAACGAGAAATCGTTTCATGACCACTACATGTTGGCTTTCCTTTCCCACCTTTCCCTAGTATCTAGCCTGTTTCAAAACAAAAGCGCACAAACATTAGCAAATGTTTTCTCAATAACTTTCAAGAATTCTACAATAAGCAAAAAAGCTCACCCCCAAAACAGTTTTTGTGGCTTCTTTGGTGTTGTGCCTAGTGTCTTACTATGATTCTGTTCTTCTAAGGTAGAAGAAAAGGAAGTTGATTCTTTCAACTTGTTAGAGCTTTCCCCATCTTTGATCTGAGAATTCTTGCTCGCTGCATTTCAGTGTAGAGCTTTTAGTCTAGTGGATATGAACTGCGAATTCTCAAACAAGAGCTAACTATATACCTTTAGGTTTCTTATGAATCTTTGTATTGGCTTTTATTTGCATACGTCTCTTGTGTAGCTCCTGTAGTAATCTCAAAACATAAACAAAATGGCTTCAAATTTATATTGTTTTTTTTTTTTTTTTTTGGATTGAACAGTTAATAGAAATTCGAATCAAGATAATTATACGAAATCGTGTGTTTATAACCTCATTGAGGTATCTGAAAATCATAAACTTTAAAAGTCGAAGCGAAGAATCTGACCTGTAATTTCGAAATTTGTTTCTGACTGACGTTGGAACGATTAAAATTGGGTTGAAGAGATAGTGTAGAGGCTAATAAAGCTTCTTTGCGATTCTCCTCTGCTTCTCTGTCGATTTCCTCGCTTGTCCTCCTCGTCGTCGCCATGGCTTCTCCGTCGGCGTTCATCGCTGGTTCTTCGACAACTTTGAGAAATGAGAATTATAAGAAACGACGTCGGATCCTTCCTTTCCCTTTTTTTTCTTTGATATTTTGGGAAAATACCGAAATTACCCCGGAAGCATATGCGTGTTTAACTAACTACCCGAATGTTTTGAATTAATACATAATTAACCTAATAGTTTCTTTAACTATCAATTACACCCAAATATTTTGCAAGTTTTGGCATTAGTGAGTTACTATATTAATTTGAAATCTTAATTATTGCATCATAGATCGTGACGAAAATAAATGGGCTATGTCTAACAGCTTTGAGTAGAAAGTAAAACTCTCAAGCTTCGTCTTTAATTACGTTTGTGCCTTGACTAAGCAAACTAATTAGACCTTATGATTTTTTAAATCCACTAATCTAGTATGCCGATCACGACCACAATGCTTAACCTCTATATCACCGATATATATATTTTTCTATATACCCGATCGGCTGATCCGGTTAGCTCCGGTAAAAACGCACAGAAATACTTAAAAAATGGATTTTTCTTTCCGAAAGACTACCACATTATGTATTACCGATTTTTGTTATATTCAAATTAAGAGTTCATATTTGACTATGTAGCAACCAAAAAAAAAATGAAATTGAGGAAAGTTCTGGCAATGTGTCGTTTAAGTGCACCTAAAGTTAGGCATGAAATCTTGTTCCTTTCCATGGTTTGTGGGTCAGCACCGAACATTTTGCACGCTCTTCTGTTTCGTATTGCAACATTTTAATAATTATTTCGGTTTGAGTTAATTTAATTTGCTAATTGTTTTAGTTCGGTTAAGGTAGAATTTCGAAAGAAAAATTAGACAAAATTGAACCCAAACACAAATAAATAATCCAATAGATCATCCAAGTATAGGTTTTCATATACAGAACTGCTCGGTTACATCCACCTCTCACCCAAAAAAAAAATATCCACCTCTCTCACCAATGTGTGCAATATTTTGATTCGGTTAAAATAAAATTTGGTCCGATTCATATATTCAAACAATCATATCTTGACAATCTTGACAACATGTCACTCTAAGCTTATTTTGACAACATATCACTCTAACTTGATTTCAGTTAAATTAAAGAATTCATCACCCATTCACCCCTTAGCTTATTTTGACAACATATCACCCTTACTTGAAATTGCAATCTCTTACTATACTTCGTCCTATGTGCAAGATAAAATTTTGTCAAATCGCATGATGTTAAGATCTAAAACCTAAGTTTTGTATCTAACACATGATCTTTATATACATATGTTGACCTGAGAACAACTAAAAGTCAACAGGCCACGTCTTCGTTCCAAAGTCTAACCTATTAATATACATTTAACTTGCAAGAGCTTCTTTGACGTTGTCCAATACACTCCAAATACCTTGTTTTGTCTTTTTCTTTCTTTTACAACTTGTAATAATAACACATTTATAACTACTGGGTTGCAAAATACTTAACGATCACAACAACACTTCTCTCTCTCTAGCTCTCTCTTTCTCTCCCTCTCCCTCTCTATCTCTACGATGGGCATTATAGATCATAAGAGCAAGAAAGAAGAAGAACAGTACCCAATGATCTCAAAGCCCTTGAGATTTATTCTCTTACAAAAGGGAAGTTATGTCTTAAGCTCACTCTTCTTTGTATTCGGTTTCTCGGTCGGTCTCTTCCTTTGTCTGCAACTAAAAGCCGTACACATGTCTACGACGACGACACAACGACAACCCTTATGGTCTACATTACTATTCAACCATACCACAACGATGGACATCAAACAAGAGTTGCAACTAAAAACACTTCAACACAACATGAGTGATCAAGAACTCTTCACCAAGGTCTCGTCATTATCATCACCAACATCATCATCGTCATCATGGTTAGGGAGGAGACATAATAATGATGGGAAGATGGTTGTGAAGGTGGCTTTCATGTTCATGACAGGTGGCAGACTCCCATTGGCTGGCTTGTGGGAGAAGTTCTTTGAAGGACATGAAGGGTTTTATTCCATATATGTCCATACTAATCCATCCTTTCAAGATTCTTTCCCAGAAACTTCCATCTTCTACTCAAGAAGAATCCCAAGCCAGGTGATAATAACAGCTTTAGTTTGTTAATTATTCTTTCTCTTTTCTTAACTAAACCTATTTAATTAGGTACCCCTATATATATATGATTAGTATTATATCACTAGTTTTCCAAACATATCTCTTGGATTTGACAGCTGGTTGGTTTTTTCACGTGGCACGTGTATTGATCTTGATTCGACCCTTGCATAATGGTCCACTAAGGCATGAACCCATTTGATATTATTCTAACATAAATACATGTCTTAATCATGTTAATAATCTTCCAATATAGACTATTCTCAAATTTTGAACAATACAGAGAATAGTTTCAAAATGCATCTCAATATAAAATTTGTAGATATAAACTGAAAAGGTCGTAGGAATCGAGGCTTTATACGTTATTAAATTTCTAGGTTCAATAAACCTTACAAATTTAAAAAGGCTTCAATTTGTATAAATAGTTTTAGATTATTTTAACAATAATTTTTTTTATATTAACAATAATATTGATGTTGGTTTGTGAAAAAATTGTCAAACAGCCGGTATATTGGGGAACATCATCAATGGTAGACGCAGAGAAAAGACTCTTAGCCAACGCACTTCTAGACGAATCGAACCAAAGATTCGTCCTCCTGTCCGATTCTTGCATTCCACTCTACAATTTCACAACAATCTACGATTACTTAACCGGCACCAATCTCAGCTTCATTGGCTCGTTCGACGACCCAAGAAAATCCGGTAGAGGCCGTTACAATCACAAAATGTATCCACAAATCAACATCACACATTGGAGAAAAGGATCACAATGGTTTGAAACAACTAGAGAACTTGCTCTTCATATTATCGCAGACACGGTTTACTACAGAGTATTCGATGAACATTGTAAACCGCCTTGTTACATGGACGAGCATTATATCCCAACTCTTGTTCACATGTTGCATGGGGAGATGAGCGCTAACCGGACCTTGACGTGGGTTGATTGGTCCAAAGCCGGTCCACATCCTGGCCGGTTTATTTGGCCTGATATAACCGATGAGTTTCTTAACCGAATCCGGTTTAAGGAGGAGTGTGTCTATTATGGCCGTGGTGGAGAGAATGTTACAACTTCCAAGTGTTTTTTATTTGCGAGGAAATTTACAGCCGAAACATTAGAGCCTTTGTTAAGAATTTCGCCAATAGTTCTTGGATTTGGTCCATAGTTACATTCTTTTTTCAATTAGTAAATATTATGAAGTGATAATAATTTAGATTTTTTTTCTTCGAACTACAGTTGTACCCTAACCACATAAATTTAAATTCAATAATAATAATAAAATTTTATTTCAATTATATGGTAGAAAATTAAAATTAGGAATTTAATGAGAGAAATGGAATAGATATATTATCTTATCCACGATTTTTGTCGGTTAGTGAGCTCTTTGTTCTGCTCTCGTGTAACTTGGGCGAAAACCCAAAGTTGCAGACTTTTAATCAAATGCTAACTTCTCTCCTCCTCTCGGCGCGAGCTTATCCATCTCTGATCATAAATTCCTCCTTAAACCCTAATCAAAACCCTTCAAATGCCGCCAAAAGTCCCCAATTTGATCAATTTAGGGAAAAACGAGGACTCTCTGATGCTGCGATGAAGGTTCCTACTGCTCCATGGATGAAAGGTCCTCTCTTGCTTCGACCCGATGAAATTGTCGACACTGAGAAGAGGAACAAGCCACGGAAAGTTGAAGAGAAGACGTTTAAGGCGTTGAACCGTAGAGAGAGTGGTGTCAGGGGGAAGAAAGCGATGAAGAAAATCGTGCGTAATGTTGAAAAGCTTGATGAAGGCAGTGATTCGGAAGAAACCCATATGGATGATTTGAGCGAATTCGAGTATTTAGGTCGAATTTCGGAGAAAATTGAGTCCAAGGATAGATTTGGCGGGAAAATGCCATGGGATAGAGAAGAAGAGAGGTTTATAATGCGGAGGATGAAGAAGGAGAGAGTTCCGACTACGGCTGAGCTTATCCTCGACGAAGGATTGTTGAATAGATTGAGACGTGAAGCTTCGAAGATGAGAAAATGGGTGAATGTGAGAAAAGCAGGTGTTACTGAGACAGTTGTGAATGAGATTAGATTGATCTGGAAGTTGAAGGAGCTTGCTATGGTCAGATTTGATGTTCCTCTTTGTCGAAACATGGAGCGAGCTCAAGAGATCATAGAGGTTTGGTTACATTCATCTATTGAAACTTGTTGGAATCTTGATGTTTCTCTGAAATGATTTCTCGTGTTTTCAAGAATAGATGAAGACTGGAGGCTTGGTTGTGTTAAGCAAGAAGGAATTTCTCGTTGTTTATCGAGGAGGACCGAGTTATTCATCAGAGGAAACCCGTTCTGGACAAGATGAGATTAGCTCATCATTGTACGAGAGAGAAGCTGATAGGTTATTGGATGGTTTGGGACCTCGATATCTGGATTGGTGGATGAGAAGACCGTTTCCAGTTGATGCTGACTTGCTTCCTCAAGTGGTTAATGGATATAGGACTCCATCTAGACGTTGTCCACCAAACACTAGAGCTAAGTTAAGCGATGAAGAGCTTACCTACTTGAGAAACATTGCTCAAGCTTTACCTTTTCATTTTGTCCTTGGTAATTCGCCTTCACTACTTTAGCTGTCTTCCTCACTCTTTGTGTGTGTGATATAGAGTTAAGCTTCAGGGAGAGCTATTCATATGTTTCTGAGGAAATCATGAAATAATGAAGAATTTTGCTCAAACTATATCTTGAGAAGAGATAGATCAAGAAATGGTTCTCTTGTTTTCCAGAAGTTGCAACATTTAATATTTAAATTCTCCATCTTTGTTCTTTTCATTTGCGTATACTACTTATCGTCATTCTCATTGTGTTTGCTTGCGGTTTTCTCCCTTGAGCTCTCAACAGTCTTTTCTCTTCTTCTTAATTTGCAAAGGGAGGAACCATGGGCTTCAAGGTTTAGCTTCCGCTATTGTGAAGCTATGGGAGAAATGTATTATTGCAAAGATTGCAATCAAATGGGGAGCTCTCAATACAAACAATGAGGAAATGGCAGATGAACTAAAGGCAAATTTCTTTTTTCTTATGGCCAATTGTTTTATATATATTCGATATCGATGTGGCTGATGCGACATTTTTGGGCTCTATCAATTTTTTTCAGCATCTTACTGGAGGAGTTCTGATACTACGCAACAAATACTTGATAATACTTTACAGAGGCAAGGACTTCCTTTCTGATGAAGTCACAGATTTGGTTGATGACAGAGAGAGATTACTCAGAGGATACCAACATTTTGAAGAAACTAAGCGCGAGGGCGATATAGAAATCTTGGAGGTGGTAACAGATGGTAAACAGTTGAAGGAAACAAGCAAAAGTGGAACTTTATTGGAGTTTCAAGAACTTCAAAGAAAATTCGGAGAAATGGAGACGAGAAACCTAGAGACTGAAGCTGAGAAAGCAAGACTAGAGAAGGAGCTCAAAAGCCAAGAACACAAGCTTTCCATTGTAAGCCTTTTATAGCTTCCAAAAATTGCTTCGTTTTATATTTCGCCTACTGTAATATAAGTCCGTGGATTGCTTATTTTCGTTTTGTTTGTTTGCAGCTAAAATCAAAGATAGAGAAATCAACAATGGAGTTGTTTAAATTGAATTCTTTGTGGAAACCATCGGAGCGAGATGATGACATCGAGATATTTACTAATGAAGAAAGAGAATGCTTGAGAAGAATAGGGCTGAAGATGAGTAGCAGCTTAGTTCTTGGTAGGAGCAACCGGATCCATTCTTGTCTTCTTCTTATTCCTTATCCATTGGCTATGAGATTGATTTACATAAATTTCATTTTTGTATTTGTTTCATTTTTAGGTAGAAGAGGAGTCTTTGTTGGTATAATGGAAGGTCTACATCAGCATTGGAAGCACAGGGAGGTAGCAAAAGTGATCACGATGCAGAAGATTTTCTCCAGAGTTGTCTACACAGCGAAATCACTTGAAGCAGAGAGCAATGGAGTACTAATCTCAATCGAAAAACTTAAAGAAGGACACGCAATACTCATATACCGTGGCAAGAATTACAAACGTCCTTCATCAAAACTGATGGCACAGAATCTTTTGACAAAAAGAAAAGCGTTACAAAGATCTGTTGCGATGCAGCGACTCGGTGTAAGTGAAATGAATGACAAAGAAATCACTTTCTTTCATTTTTTTGATTGAGAGAATGCTGTGCATCTCATTTGAATTAATTTTTTATCTGTTTTTTGTTTTCATTGGCAGTCACTGAAGTTCTTTGCTTACCAGAGAGAGAGAGTAATAGAAGATTTGAAGCTGAGTTTGGTAGATCTTCAAGACTCTGCTTTCTGAGCTAGGTTGATGCAAAATGATTTGCAAGGAAGAGCTGAAAAAGTTTACCTACCAAGGCAAATTTATTTACTTGACTGAATCACATATTCTTTTTCTTTTACTGTGGTATATTTTTATAATTTACTCAAAACATTTTTTAAGTGCCTGATTAGCATGTATATAAACTATATATATATACTATGTAATGTCACATTTTCTGAATAAATAGTTAAATACTTATAAACCCTGATAAATGCAGCTTCGGTAAAAAAGAAAATTTAACTAAATTTGGCAATCATGTAACTTTTATTCTTCTTTTTATAGTCGAAATAGCCAGCATATTAAAGATGAATGCACCGTGAATGCTAAGCAAAATTTGGTCCAAAAGCAGTTTGCAGTGAATAATTGATTGGCTTGGCGCTATATGCTAATTGACTAGTTAAAGCTTTAAAGTTTAAAGGCATCCACAACGATATTAACATTGTACAAACAATAAAATCAAGACGTCAACGAATTAGCATCGTACTCCCTCCGTTTTCGAATAGTTGTCGTTTTAGAGAAAAAATTTTGTTTTTATTTAGTTGTCGTTTTCAGTTTTCGATGCAAAATTTATTATTTTTTTATTTTTTATATTTATTTTTATTATGCAACTTGATTTACTATTGGTTAAATTATGTTTAGGTAGATAATTAATGATATTTTTATATTGAAAACTAACAACATTAATAGTTTCTTAATTTGTGTGCATATAGTTAAAACGACAACTATTCGTAAACGGAGGGAGTATTAAATAAATTGATTCACCTACTTAACATGAAAAAATGATTAATTATTTTCTTGTTTAAAAAATGGATTCTCCAACGAAATCTACCTTATTCTCAAATCTGAAAAAAAAAAAAGAGAGAGAATACTAACGGATATAATTTACTAATTACATATTCTTAGAAACTCAAAATGTCTATTAGAAGACATTTTTCAAGTTCCTACAAAACCAATTCCGGCAATAATAAAAGCAAGAGCCTGCATGTAAAGATAAATATATAACAATGTCTTCCCAAAGACAAGGTTATAGGAGGCACAACACAATATGTATATCCCGACCATCATCTCCTTTGAGTTTATCCTGCAACAAAACAAACTCTTTCACAAGCTGACTAATGTTGGAGATGAATCATATGAAGAAAACAAATATACTATTTGTTTGATTAATTACCTGTCGAGAAACCCATAGCGAGGTTTTCTGACTTGGGGAAGTAACTTAGTCTCGAGAGCATCTCCTAACTTCTCGGTGACGACCCATTCGTTCACTCTCCCTCCTTCAAGTAAACCGATGAAAGTGCCTTTGGTCCGATGCATAGCCATAACATTCTCGAACAAGACCCAAAAAATCACGAGGTAAAAAGATCTACATGCATACCAATATAGTTGAAATAATAAATACATGGTATACTATAATCTAGCTAGTTACTACTATATGAATAAATGAACACATGTTAGTTGAGGTTAAGTTATAGCTAGAAAATAGTACTAACCGCGGTGTAGCAATGGCATTGAATAGAGTGATCATAAAAGGAAAATAAACAGTTGACCAAGTCGGAATGTTGACTTCGGGAAAGAATACGCTCATAGGAAGAATGAAACAATAGAAGAAGAAAGTGAAGAAATGGACTATGATCTTCCTTACGAAAAAGAAACTGTAGATCACATACAATTTCTTCCAAATCGTCACTCTCTGTTCATATTACCAAATCAAATTCATTAGTACCAACTTTATATTATTATTTAAGATCAAAACAATAGAACAAACTTAATTAAATTGGCATGCCTCACATTGGGTGTTTGTTTCTCATAATGGACAACAAAAAGAAGTTGGTGTGCATAGAATGAAATAAATTAAGATAGAGAATAAATGTATCTTTCGTTTTTATTGGTCAGATAGAATGAATAATAGTGTACCTTATTGCGAATAATTTCCATAGTCATTTTTCTGAAGAGATTAGCTGGACCGCATGACCATCGATGTTGCTGGAACCTGAAAGCCTTAAATTGGCTTGGTAGCTCACTTTTCACCTACAATCGCAATCATGTATTTTTAAAATATAGTATAAAAAACGATTAAAAGCTTATTTATTTGATATCCACACGTTAATATATTATTGCACTTTCCTGTGGATTTAAATCATGTGCAACTGTGCATAAAGTGTGTGCACAGCAACAACACATGTGACAAATATTAATTAAGATTTGGACTGGTTCAGACGATGTTCTTTTAAATTACAGATAGGTTTGGTCCGTTTGGACACACATTAATTAGTTATAGTCCAAAAGAATTGAAAGTACCGCAACATCATTGACGAAGACAAATTTCCAGCCATGTAGACCAACACGAACGGCCAAGTCCATGTCTTCAACGGTGGTTCGGTCTTTCCAACCACCGGCTTCTTCCATCGCCGCCAGTCTCCATACACCAGCAGTCCCTGCAAAAGTCCAATTGTATTGTTTAAAGTTTAACTATATCAGAGTAGCATACCAAAAACAAATATTAATGAGAGATTTTGAAGATTACAAGATGGATTTGAATGTATACAATTTCTTGTTATTGGAAAAACTACTTGTATATTCATTCATTATCAACTGGTTTTGTAAAACACATATACAAATAAATATGGCTTGTTTTAGCAATTGTTAGTTAGAAACAGTGAAGCTACATAGAATATAAAAACTAGAGGATCTTTTTTTTTTTGTGCAAAATAAAATTAGAGGATCTAAGAAATAAAATATGAAGTTTTTCGACCACAGGATAAAGTATATTAACAAATGTTGATAAGGGTGCATCTACCATTGAAGCCAAAGAAGGCATGTCTAGTGGATCCGGATTCTTGCTCTGCCGTGAAATGGTAATTGAGGGACATCTCCTGCATCCTAGTCATCAAGCACTTCTTTGCATTCACTATACCAAGGATTAGTTTCTTTAATCATATGACTATGACTAAACGCATATTTTATGTCAAAACCAATTGACAGTAAATTGAAAGTGTTTTGTTTGTGTTAACCGCAAATAGTCATACCAAATTTCCATCGAGCTTGAACAAGAGCGAGCTCGGAATTGTGGATAAGAAATGGAACAGTCCGTTGTAGGTAGTCAGGCTCTGGCTGGAAGTCGGCATCGAAGATTGCAATGTATGTGCATGTTTTGACGTAACTATGCCTCATACCTTGTTTAAGAGCTCCAGCCTTATAGCCATTTCTATTATCTCTCCTCTCACATTTTATGTTAATGCCTTTGGTTGCCCATTTTCCACACTCTATGTTCACCATTTCCTGCAATTACACACATTTTTTTGGCAAAAAAATAAAAATAAATAATAATGTGTGCAATTACACATTAGACGCTTGACCTTAAAATTTTTTTTTTAGAGATTTTTTAATGTTTACATATGAAATTATCGCGGTTACAAGCAAGAACAAAACATTTACACGTTTTTAACAAATATCATTTGGAATTTTGTGAAGGCAAACGTACAGAAAAAATTAATTGAAAAAAAAAAAAAAAAATTCCCTTTTATTTTTGTAAATAAAATATTCTGACTAGTAATTAAAAGCATGCGTTTAGAACAATCAATATATATATATGTACCATGATGGTGGGATCAGTGGAATCATCTAAAACTTGAACGATTAGTCGATCCAATGGCCATATGAGTCTGCAAGCAGCACCAATGGATAACTGAAACACCTGTGGAGTAGAACTTTACTTAAATCACTAGTTCACTATATAGTATAAAATTAAAATAACTGATCAATTCATAAAACTATGATTAAATACCTCTCGTTCATTGTACATTGGGATTTGGACAAGAACCATGGGAAAGTTTTGATTTCCGAGCTCCATGTCCTCTTGCATTGCCTCCCATTTGTAAATCTTCTCGGGTTTGCGTTTAAACAACTTGACGTAGATTACTACAATGTTCATATACAAACTTTCAACGAAAACTAACAGTGAGATGACCAAACATATAGCCACCAAACACCTGAACATTGGAACTATAAGTAGACTTCTCATTTCTCTCCACCACATAGTTTTCATGCTTGATTATCTATCTATCCTCTTCACTCCATTATATATAATATATGCTTCAAGCTTTTCGAAAGTCGCAGCTGCATCCTAAATTATTCACTAGCAAAAGAAATATAACTATTCTTCTCAGAACCAAGAAATGGGAGTGAGAATTATTGTAGGAAGAGGAGAGGATTTTAGAAATGGGTTTTTCTTGTTCTGTCTATAAGTGTCTGACTTTACAGAGATTCCCTTTTTTGTTATATTAAGTAATTTGTCTTAGTTTTTGTTTCTATTTTGATTCGTCGTCGTTTTACCAAATTTTGTGGACCTGATCTAGAACATTATCATAGCTAGTGGGAACAACAAGATGAGAAAAAGGACCAAACGATGTTTTAACTTTTTAACTCAGTCTCACTATTTTTATTCATAACTTCCACGTGATACTTACATATACCTACTTGTATCGGTATCGTATATCGTCTATGTACTATTCAATCACGCACATATACGTCATCTTTTAACTTTCAGATTGGTGATTTCTTCTTGGTATCATTAGCCCAAAAACAATTTTTTAATGGACCAAACCATATAATTGGACCTGATACTAGCCTGATCAGTATCACTCCACTAATACTTGTGATATTTAGTATCGTATGATGTAGCAGAATGTCATTGGACCGTGAATGTTTTTTTTTTTTTTAGATTAAAAATCTTTGAATGGCTTTGTTTGATCATGGCCGTTAATATCTCTGAACGGCTTCGATCGTAGGGCTCTGCAATCAACTATCTTAAACAATAATGGCGAGAACACCAATAACAAGATCAGAAATACCACAAACACGGACAAACAATATCTCTGAACAAACATCTACAAACATCTCAAACAATATCTCTGAACGGTTTCGATCGTAGGGTTTTTCAATTTTTTACTATTTATATATAAGACAGACAAAATAATTACAAGTTCAATGAGTTTCTCCAATTACCTGCTTCGACCACAAGATATGTTTTATTTAAGTATATTCTACGTTTTTATGGATTGTAATATTATCCTTTGTAATCTTATGTTTTTATATATTTTTTTTTCGATTTTGCAAATAA